TCGGCAGCGGAGTGGCGCAAACTCAAGAAACCTGAGAACACGGTGGTGCTGGACTGGAGCCAGGAACTCCGAGGGTCAGGCGCGAAGTCTGTCCTGTCGGAGGCGTCGAACTGGTGGCGCCAGGGCCACGGGGAGAGCGCGGACGCGGCTGCTGGGAAGAGTGGGCGACACACCGAGCACAGAAGAGGCAGAGGAGGAGGAGGCAGGGGAGGCGGCGGCCGAGGAGGAGGCGAGGGCGGAGGCAACGGCCGAGGAGGAGGAGGAGGAGGAGGAAAAGGAGGAGGAGGAGGAGGAGGAAGAGGCTGAGGAATAGGAAGAGGAGGCGGAGGCAGGCAACCGGCAAAAGAGGCAGGGGACGAGCCATCGATCGCTGGCGACACGGAGGCGTCCAGCTGGTGGCACAGGCCACGCGGGACAGAGGGCAGCAGAGCGGTGAGCGCCCGACAGACGCTGGCCAGCACAGGAGCCGCGCAGGCGAGGACGAGGAGGAGGACAGACACGATGGCTGCCTTGGAGGAGGCCACGGTGGCTGCCTTGGTGGAGCAGCTTGTGGAGTGAGAGGCGGAGCAGAGCGGCGTTGAAGGAGAACGCGGCGCAGGCCCAGGGGCACCAGAGCAGCGGACATGGTCTTGCCCGGTCTGCGGGAAGATGGAGAGGGTCCAGAGCGGCAGGAAGATGAGTTGGACGATTCAGAACCACATTCGCCAGAGGCACCTGGAGGAGGTGAAAGCAGCCATGGAGGCAGCTGCCAAGTTTGGCGCAGGACAAACGGGTTTCGCGCAGAAGGAGCTACTTCGACCCATTGCCTTCGCCGCGGTTTCCCGGGGGGTGAGCGGGCGCTCACATGCCCGCACTGGCAAAGGACTGGCGCGGTGCAGCCAGTGGCGAACCGAGATGTCCAAGAGGGCGCACCTCCAAGAGTGCCGCCCGGGCACGACGCTGAATGGAAATGCACCGGCTGGTACAGAAAAAGGGGAGGCCAACCGCCAAGCAATGGCCCGCAAGGTGGCGGCGAGCAAGGCGGCCAAGTCCTTGGCAGCCGTTGAGAGCTGGAAGGCCCGATGGCGGCCGCCGGGTCACGAGGTGCAGCGCCTCGCGGCCCCTTGGCCGAAGCCGCAGCCAGACCAGCAGGAGGAGCAGAGGCGAGGATTCACGATGGCGTGCGCACGGTGCAGGACAGAAGCCCGATGCCTGCACCAAAGCGAGCGGAAGTGCGCCGCCGAGGGAGGCGAGCAAAAGGCGAGGCAACGGCCTGACGGCCGCTGGTGGTGGTCCTACACACTGGCCGGATCCCACAAGGACAACGACCACAGCAGGGTCGCCTTGACGGAGGCATGGGGCACAACGTCTGAGGAGGTGACCGACAAGACGGCTGCGGCGACGCAGTGGGCTGCGACGCACCAGGCCGCCGTAAAGAGGCGGTGCGACGGAGAGAAGGAGTGGCAGGAGCAGGTGGCCACCAAGGCTGCGAGGAGGGAGGAGGATGTGGAGAGAGAGAGAGAGAGAGAGAGCGAGGGCTGCGCCAGGCGGACGATGCTGAACCAGACCCATTCACATACGAACTTCGCGCGAGATGGCGTGGAGGCGGAAAGAGGGAGGAGGCAGTAGAGAGGAGGAGGAAAAAGAGGGAGGCAGAGAGGAGGAAGAGGGGGCCGCAGGATGCAGCTTGACAAACGGCCAGTGTGGGGGTTACACAGCCAGGGCGCCATAAGAAGGAGTCCCACAAGGCAAGGCCCACGGAAGAGGAGGCTCAGGAACGAGCCCGACACAAACAGGAGTGAGGCTGAGGAGGTCGAGGCAGAGGTTGAGGACGAGGGAGGAGAGCATCGGACAGAGAGCAATGTGCCACCCTGGGCGCTCATAAGAGGCTGAGGAGGAAGAGGAGGAGGAGGAGAAGGAGGAGGAGGGGGAGGAGGAGCAGCAGGTAGAGGTAGACGGTAGAGGTGAGGTGGGGGCACCCGCACAGGCGGACCCCACCTCCAGCAGAAGCGTATCAGGGGCGAACCAAGCGGCAGGAGCTGTCACGGTTTCCGCCGGCTCCGGGCCGACATGAGGAGGGTGAGGAGGAGGAGGAGGAGGAGGAGGA